ACGTCAGCAATGCTATGCTAATCAGCTCGAGCAATGTGGCGGTGAGAGACTAGGAGGTAATCGCTGAAAGGATTTTGTGGGCACTGGGTAAGTTCGTAGTGTACAGCAAGTGCAACATAGACACTTTTGGTGTTTATCAAAGTTTTAAGAGCAAATGTACGCGGAAATCTATATCATGTATCATTGATGTACTAATAGCGTAGAATTAGCGGAGTTGGGCGGAGTTGGAAGCGTAGATAGATAGATATATTTATTTAAACAAGTTAATGAACAAGCATTTTTGGAACGTCAATATTATTTAGTAGTAAATAATCAAAAATACTCAAATAAAGCCATGACACACTATATAAATAAAAAATTTATATAACGGATATTAAAACAAACAAATAAAAATAAATTAATCACAACAATTTTTGCCTAAAATACACATTGGTTTTTAATGGATCAAAAAATTCTTCGATACCATGCTGTTTTAAGGTTTTTAGCTTTTTCAGTGCGGTGTCTTGGAATTGCTATTTTATGTTTTTCTATAGTGTCATGATTATGTACGTATATAACATACTGTAGATCGTATTTATCTTTATTTTGTTAGATTCAGCTCGGCTGATGATGAATGATTGAGTCGTATAATGTCATGATACCCAATCTCCTAAATATGCTCCTACATGGGTCGTCGTGTTTGGCCTGACAATGCTAGGCACTGCAGCCTTCTGAATTATAAAAATTTTTGTAAGTTTTAGTTCCAAGCATTGCCTCAACCAGCTATACCTAACTTAGTTTTGATTGAAATAGTACATATGATATAATGGCAGAATCTTCGTCAACGGTATTTGCACTTTTGCGAACAGCATCTATGTGGTGTATCCAAGAATAGCAGGAGTCCAAGTTTATTCCTAAGAAATCAACCACCGTGCCAGTTATGCCATTTTGTAAAGAAAATGTACATATACTGTTTTTTTCAGTATTTAAGTATAGTTCAATCGCATCGAACCACTTTTTGGAATGATCTATAATCATTTGCACATACGTGTATATTCTCATTTCATCAATGTATAATATAAATATAAGGAAAAATGGATACTTGAGGTACGTCTCTTTTGGTTATATATTCGCCACTGCTATGATTAAAAAACAAAGTTTTAGTGATCGTTATTTTTTGCCCGTAGCTCCGTCGCCACTGGACCGATTTTTAAAATCTACAATGCTTTTTCCTCCCTGGCTTAGTAGTAATCTTGGGTAGAAGTTTCATCCAAATCCGATAAACTGACAGACAGACCGACTGACTGCCAACAGATGGACCTACAGAAGGATCGACAGATCCGCATACCGACTGTGGAAACCTCACGCTTGTGCTATAACGCCTCAATCTCTAGCTAAGCATTTGATGTCTATGATCCTGTTTCACCGGTCGTCAGGTCGCTTTCTTCTCCTTAACAAGCCATATTTTCGAGACTTTTATAACGACAATATTATTAACAATAAGAGCAGCAGAGCGAAGGACGGAACATTAAATTGTAAGAGTTGCGGCTGGAATGGCTGCAGCCGCAGTGCATTGTCTTCCAAAATAAAGCAACAACCGACTTACGGGTAGCGGGGCGGAAAGGGAGGGACAAAAGGGCGAAACAGACCCACGCCACGGGCAAACAAATTGCATGAATTCCGCGGATGAATCAAAGAGTTGGGTAGATGCTGGACAAAGGAAGAAGCGAAGACCTGTATATTTTGGTTTGTTGCTTTCAGTGTGTAGGTAATAACTAGCATCAAAGTGACAAAAACATGTAAGATGACATATCTGTTCCTCCTTAGATTATGAGTAGGGCAATATATGAAAGCGTAAATTAAAATGACTTCAAGCTGCCCCTTGACAAAATTTTCGCGTCATGCATGTTCAACAGTGCGCGTTGTCACGTAGCACGTTCCACATTGGAAGGTTCATATGTGCTCCGAGAATGTCTAACAAATTTTAGAAAGTTACACTCTGCGTCACACATTTTATTCTCACTGGACTATATTATTGAATATGCACACGGTTTTTATACATACTTTACTGTAAAGAAGTGACGTAACACTTGGTGATCCTTGCGCATTATTAAACATAAGCCGCGCAAAGATTTTGTTAAGGGGGAGCTTAAAGCCATTTTGATTCCAATTTTCTTATAGTTACCCTTCTATTATTAATGGTATACAGGGTGTCCGCAAAGTTGGGGTTTTCCTTTACACGACGTGTAGATCTTGAAAACATAAGCAATTTTTCTTAGTACCATATACACCAATGTCTTAAGGGAACCGAGATAAAGGGCTCTGCAACATCAAAAATATCTGAATACCGTCCTGTAGGCGCGACCCGCGACATCACCGAGTGGTACAAGGTCACTGGCTCAACCCGACGACAGAACTGGGTCGGGGTCAGTGTGTCAGGTCAGTATGCAACCTTCAACCGACGGTTACGGTCACGCGTGTAGAGGTAAACGAACCCGTATAATCGATTGCGTTTGAAAAAACAACAAGCACTAGAGACGTGGCTAGAGAAGTGCAAGTATCAAAAACTGTGGCAAACGCTACGTTTCACGTCCAACGTGTACAAGCCCTTCAACCTGACGATTTTCCAGCAAGAGTGCGGTTTTGTGAGTGGTTGTTGCATCAACATGACAATAATCCGGACTTTTTGAAATGCATATTGATGACAGACGAATCTACGTTCACGCGTAATGGGGTGAATAACTTTCGCAACACTCATGTTTGGTCAGTAGAAAATCCGCACGCTGTCCGTCGGGCACATTTTCAACAAACATTTTCGGTGAATGTTTGGGCTGGCATGGTGAACGGTATGCTCATTGGACCATTTATTCTCCCAAATCGATTGGACGGGATGCAATACCTACACTTTTTACGCAACATTTTGCCTTCCTTGTTAGAAGATGTGCCATTAAGTGTAAGACAATCAATGTGGTTTCTGCACGATGGTGCACCGCCCCATTTTAGGCGCGAAGTGCGTGAGTTTTTGAATGAATTATTTCCGAATAGGTGGATCGGACGTAATGGACCCGTAGCGTGGCCTCCGCGATCTCCAGACTTAACACCATGTGCTTTTTTTCTTTGGGGAGAAATGAAACATCAAACAAAACTGAAGTGCATACGGTTGACGAACTTCGTCTCAGAATTGAACAAGCTGGTGCTTTCATTCGGGGGAGGGACTCCATTCTCAAAGCCTGCACCGATGCTTGGCTACGTCGTGCACGCACCTGTGTTTTTGAATCAAACGGCGATAACTTCGAACAATACCTATAAAGTACGTTTACCTAAAAACTGAAAACGCGGCAACGCCGTCATATTTGTGTTCGTGGTCTACCCCACCGCCTGCGTCTGCTCGGTAGCGCATCAGCTGATTTCATTTTCTGTTGGAGCGTTATCATTTCGGGCAGAGACGTACTTAGTCCTTCTCTTCAACTGGAGAGTGAGTACTTTTTCCTTCATTTTTTTTTACTTGGTCGTCCTCGTTTCACTACACATTACCTTTGTTATTTCAAGGGTAGTTGTTTCTGAAAAGGAAAACCCCAACTTTGCGGACACCCTGTATAATGCACAGAACCGGAATTATCTGCAAATTATTGCTGAAACTTGGTGTAATATGTCTAATTATATTTACGGATGATTAGCGGTAATATTATGTACAGGTCTTATGCATGGCGCGTAAGAGTTCTTGAATGTTTCATGGTTTTTCATTATGTTTTTGTTGCAGGTGAGGGTGGTTTTGGATTTGTGGTTTCGAGGTTCACACCGCAAAATAGCAAGTCAAATGAAGGACAGTCCTCAGAATGAAAAACTAACTGTCACTTGAGAGTAGACAGTAATGACAACTAACCGTTCGATAATGCTGGTCGTGTCCAAACTGGTGTCTGAAAGAAAAGTTATGGTTCATAACCACAAAAATAACGAAATTTACGTTACTGTAGCTGACCATTAACTCCCTACTAAAACATTATCAACAGAGGCCAAGCCTAGACTATGCTGATGAGTTGCCAAATAGCATAAAAAACCTGTCCATTGTCGGATAGACGATTGCAGTATGCCAATGGCGAGTAGACTATACCGCCAGAATCATCAGCATCTAGCAGTCATAATGGTCACTGGGCTATCAAACGCGAACTGAGATATTTCCATTAAACTCTCTCGCAGTGATCAATTCTAGTAAAAGATGGCGCTGTATTATGTCTTTTTCGATAGAGGATAGAAGGTAGTTGACGAAAGCACGAAACAGATGTCCCAGGTTGTATTTGGTCGGATGGATGAAAGCAGCATTGTTGGTATTAACATGACAATTAACACCTTTAATTATCACTAACAGATTCCTTATTACGTAATATATTACATATATATTTGTAATTGGATGTGTCCGTTTCTGGCGCAAGAGTTGTAGTTTTCTCCTCCAATTTAAAGCGTCCGCAGTTTTTCCATGTTTATATCCCTCGCCAGTTCCGCGTTCGGCTGTACCTTTGAGCGAAAAAACGACAAGCGAAAATATATGAGTGCACCTTTTGAAACAAAAGCGAAGAGGCTGCAAAGGTGGCCGCCGCCCGCCGACATCTGATAAAGTGCATGAACGGAACACAAGATGTTCTAAAAGTACGCGCTATCCTTTTCATTAATAACTTCAATTATCGTCAAATATTTCATAGAAGCTATGACATTCATCTACATACAGGGTGTCCCAAATGTCATATATTAAATAAAAGGGGATAATAAAAGGGATTATTTCAAATCAGCAAAACCATATATGAAATTATCCTATTATACACGACTTTTGAGTTATCGCCATATTAAAGAATTTGTAGAAAATCTTGTTTACAGAGCTATCTTTTGTGATTCCTCAATCAGCTTTACATGATATGTTCCCATGTATCGTTGAACAAAGGCAATCAGAGACAAATTAGTCCCATTACTGGAGGTATAACAGTCGACTGAACCGAAATTTAATCTATTGCCATTAATTTTGGGACACCCTGTATACTCGGGTACAAAAATGTAAGAAAGTAGCATAACACATAGAACGCTTCTGCTAACAGGAACGTACGATGTGTTATGCTACTATCTTACATTTTGGTAGCCCGCTACAAATGTCGCTAATATATTCAAAACTTCACTTACCGACTAGGGCCAGGATGACTGTCAGCAAGGGCGCCGCTGGAAAGCTGACGGTAACGTTGAATTCCAACATTTGAAGCAGATCAACTGCAAACAAAATAAACTGCATGAGCCAAAACTGTGTTTATATTTTATGCTAAACTAGCCTAATCCCGCAGCTCCGCTCGCGTTAAAGAATTGTTCGAGTATAATAGGTCATACGTCTTGCATTAGTTTGAAGTAGATTAGTTTCGAACAAACTTAGACAATATTAAAAAATAATGAAATGGTTACTTTGGTAATAATAGATATTTCTCATTTAATTGTAATGCCGATGTATAAATTTGTACACATACTAATTTATATCCCAGAAAGGTTCGGCATGGTTTTATTCGCGAACTCATCCTCGAGTTTGCATGTATTTGCAGTGTTCCAAGAACAGTTTTAGGATATCATAGGTAGTTAACCTTGAATGTGATCTCAAAATGATATCTAATGAAATTGTTACTATATCACTAACTACGATCAAAGGAAGCCTCTCTTTCTCTTTCATATGACTTATTCAACAAATTTTTGTTTTTTGTTTAGAAAAGAATACCACCCTAAACAATGGTTAGTTATACTTGTCCCTAAGATTTCAAATCCTAACGAACATCTTCGATCTATAAGCTTATTACCCGTGCCTTCAAAAATTCTAGCAAAAAATACGTCAAATAAGTTGACTCTGTGCTTCTCACGCTTTGCTATCATCATTCCGTGAAATCAGTGCGGAAGCGACTGCCGACTGTGACGTACGACCACCGACGACGACGCTTGTCCATCCCGGCGACCCCGTCGCACGTATCGACACCAGTGCTGTACCGTTTATTACTACTGTACTAGATCTATTACTATTTGAGAAAATCTGTTACCCTATCATCATCGAATAAAAAAACTATTACTTTTCACAAATGAAAATGTACTCCTATTATCTTTGGTGATGGAAAATCTGCTATTAACGAATAATTAAGCGAACGTCACAAAGATCGCCGATGTCAGGCGATTGGTATGCCATTTATCTTAGAGAAATTTCTTAAAATCGGCCGCCGACCGTTATTAATTTTTGAACTACACCTTGAATTTAATCAGTGAATTAATTTTATTTCTGTTTGCAAATGTGATGAAAAAATTTGAGAGAAATTAGAATACGAAAAGAAAAATGTTTTATTCGCCGAATCTTGGATACTGAATTAAAATACAAACACTAATATTTTATTTATTTTAAATGCGTGACTAGCACAAAACTGAACATAAACTATCCCCATGAACTGTATACGTACAAATGGCACAAGCCAAAACATAAAACTCAGAATAAACCCAATCATTGGTAAAAAGCACAAACTATAGTGAGATTCGCATTAGAGATTCAGTCTGAATAAATATGAATGAATTTTGAAGGGGAATACAGATGACACAGAACATCTAAAGTCAATAATTCATGTCAGCTTAGAAATTGACAAATGGCCATTGACAACTTGGAATCATAACATGTTCAAGCCGCTTCTTTTTTAAAATTGTAAAATTATAAATAATATAAAAAAACTAAATCAGCTCCTTCTTTTAAATGTTGTGCTGTGAACCTGAAAATCTTGTTTTTATCAAAAGTTTCTTCTTTTTGATACAAGGCGCCTTCTGTTAACAACAAAATGCAAGTTCTGTTAATGAAAAGAAAAAACTTGAGAATACAGAAATCTATTACTCTTTTCTTACCGCTACTATTTTTCTCAGTAATCTCTTATTAAACATTCGGTAGCCAGAACAACACTGATCGACAACCGACTATATGAGATATTTCTAAGTTTTAAGATTACATGTACTCTATAATAATTAAAATATGTGTAATATGTTAGAATTATTGGGATTAGAGGCGTATAAATTTACCAACGTAAAAAATTGAGATATATCCATTTGAGCAATTTTTATTTTTTTGTTTTTGGCCTTTTTGTTCGCCGACACTGAACCAGAAAAACAAAGCTTTTGCGTCCTTGACATAGTAGTAACATTATGTAAAAATTTCATCACAATCCGAGCATATTTTTCAAAAAGGTGAAATCCGGCGATGATTTATTATAAACGTTGGACAATCAGTAGGTATTTGCAAGAATTCTTACCCTATTGTCAATCATCTTTTGCATGTAAATATATTCCGGCATTCCATCTTTTATAACTTTTTCGAAATTACACGGGCCTGTAAACTTTTATACAGGATCATTTTCGAGGGAATTTTCTTTCATAAAAATCGCGTAATTCCTTCTTTTTAGGTTGTTAAGCCCTTGTGTGTATGACGGGGAGATGTTGATACTTGAAACTTTTCTCCTTCATTAATCTCTTGTTGAATTTGTGCAAACAGTGCGGATTTGCCAAGTTTTATCATTATGTTACCAGTCAACATTTCAAAGGGCCTCCTTACTTTACTGAAGGAAGACGATATCGGAAATCGTTAAGGGCCGCTCAACGTTCCTCGACACTTGTTTGTACTAAAGAGCGAAACGAAGGGAATCAAGTTGTTTAGACTGTGGGAATTTGATACTATTCGTTTTGTCATTCGTATTTACATTTGTAATGGGTGATTTATTTAGGCACGATTTTACCTTCGAGTCCATTGTTTAGCGGATCAAAACAAAAGACGTTTTTTGAGTAATGGTTCTATATACACTCGATTTCTTCCAAAATATCTCTCAAACTAGCGAAAAGTTATACTATTTGTTTGAAAAGGGACACTATCCCCCTTATTAAATCAAGAAATTCTTCATAAATCATCTGGTTTAGCTATAAAACCAATTTTTTTCATTTGATGCTGGAAGTAGAATTTGCTCCTACAAAGCAAATTTGACCAATCAGAAACAAGACTCATATCCACGTTGTAGATAATAGAACCAAAATAAGACTTTATGACCACTAACAAAATTCCATAAAGGGTATAACCAAATTACATATTTTTAAAGCAGAGTTTGATGATTTGTTAAACAATCCATTCTATAGCGTTTCGTAATAACCCTGTCTCTGAATAACATTTGTGATTTACTTATTAACCACTGATGCTTATAACATGTTAGCAATAGAGAAAGTTTCTGGTGGGAATGCTTGATTCAAATAGTCCCCTCGGAAGGATCACAAAGTGACAGAAAGACAGTACAACTTCCGCGGTCCTGAAGGCATAATCTTCAGAATGGAGGATAAGGTCATGGTTTTCGCTGACGCCATGGAAAAACAGTTCTCTCCCAGCTATGATCTTGATAATGAACTCGACGAGAACCAACATATCGTAAGATCTGTCAGGATATATTTTAGGACTAACGACGATGGCGGAGAATCTGAATCCTCTTCAGATGACTCTTCTTCATAAGAGTCGTCTGAGGCCTCACATAGCACATTAGCGGTACCCTGATAGATTACACATTGCACACCAGCGGAGATCCTAAGTCATATTATTAAAGACCTCAAGGTGTGTAAAGCACATGAGGAAAATCAAATCACCAACAAGGCGTTGAAGCTGCTCTCGCCGAAAGCTCTGACATATTTGGTGGAATAATCAATGCGATGCTCAGAATGCAGTACTTCCCTGCGGGGTGGAAAACCGCTAAGGTGATCAGGATTCCAAAGAATATGTGTTCGATATTACCTCAGAATTATAGACCCATTACAACAATTTGCAACGCTCCATGAGGCACTAGATAGAAACCTTGACATTCCTTACTTGAGGGATTATGTCAAGCTTCAGCCGCAACGACGTTATAGTCAAGCGGAATCGCACAGCAACCCCCTGTTGCGTGAGTCAGTGGACTACACAGTGGAGCAAGCTCGTAAACATTCAAGGCCACGGCTCGCACTGTGATCAAAAATTAGTTAACCCAAAATTAGACTCTAACAAAATCTGAATCAAAATATGTTTTTAGTTCACCTCAAAATTAATCCGTGTACCAAGTCGAAAAGCCTAGACGTTTTCTCTTAAACTGATACGCTTCTTTATCTTTGCTTTTCTCTTTTTTTCTTCTCTTTCCCATTCTCTTTTTCCGTGACATTGTCTGGTATCTGGGCAACCAGGACTGACAGATTCGACTAAGGTTCATTAAACAGTGACTCATGGACAAATCTCCACGATCCGCCCATTCAAACAAATAACGAATAGTACTTATAACGGGTATTTCGTCGAACGCGGTACTCGTGTAGTTTCGTTGTTTGTGAAATTTTTATGCATTGTTTGTTGTTGTTGTTTTTTCAACACTATTTATTTAATACATGAGCAGAGACTATTTTTTATAAAACAGCTATATTTCTTTCTTAATGACAATTCCGATACTATCGTTGCATAGCCTTATGGATAATGAATTTATTTATTTATTTTTTGGTAAGTAGAGATCTTCAGATTTTTCACCTACTTCCGCACAGTTTTTCAAAAGACCATAACCACTTGGTTGTTTGTTTGTCTCCAGGACTACTACTTAGACCTATACCGCGCTGATGAGTTGCAAATCAACACGTAACAGGGCTGTCTGCGGTTGGTCATGATTACAGAGACGGAAAGCAAATATGTCCATGCCAACCGTGTCTATTTATGCATATATGTATAGAAAGCCATTCTGTGAATTATTAGTGTACCAGCTGCTAGATGGGTGGTGCGACATCTATTTATGCGTTGCGCAGAACGTCGAGCAGTTATGAGCCAGATTAGTAGGGGTCTTCTGTCGTCTTCATCACATGGGATGAGGATGAAGATCAGCTTGGCAAACCAATGGTAGGACGATTTGTGACCTACTTACACGCACAGTATTTCAACTATTCCTTAATTTCCATAAAACATAAACATATTTTTCGCGTTCCAGGTATGTCCTAGGCCAGTCAAATTAGATCTTTGAATGTTGTCGTTGCAGTAGAAAATCTACTTAATAAAACATCGGGTAAATACTCAATTCACTTGACTACCATGGGAAATACTGTTTCTTTCCAACCACTGATATGCTTGACACGTGTTTAGAGCTAATTTGCCTGGCTTGTAATCGTTGGGCTATCCTGCCATCCCTATCCAAAAGGTTAAACAAACGCTGTCAACAGAGAAAGGAGTGTTGCAG